GCAGAATACAGGCGTTCCATCCCGAGTGCTTCAAGAAAATCGTCATCGTCATCAAAGGGCATGGTCCTCGGATTCAGAGGAATTTATATGGTCATTTCAGAAATACATTTCAAACTTGAAAAAAAATTCCTTCTTGTGGGCTGGTACATATCTTGGAGGGCACTTCTAGGAATGATATGAGCCAACAATGAAAGAAAACGGCGGTTGGGTTGTGGAGATATTGTCAAAATACTGACTTTTCAGCCCACCTGACATATCACATCATTGTCGACCTCTGGATGCTCTGGGACCATCACCAATCGATTCCTAGGCCTCAATAACCTCAGTTACATTGTTTTCAATATCGTTATTGAGGTGCAATATCGGAATAGTGACATAAAGGTGATCAGGGGGGAGGAGGACCTTGTATATCTCAGGAATATGATTTTTCCAGGGAAATCTGGCATGACCATCGTGTTCAGAGGGCTCAAGAACCCCCAGGAAAAATAGTTCTGAAGGACAGGCAGTCACATGAAGGCTAGAAAAATCGATCTTTGGGTGGGGCAAGCAATGACAGGGGGTGGTCAACTTTGGAACATGATTTTAGAGCGAATCTGGCTCGACCATCGTGTTCATATGGTCAAATAACCTCTAGAATGAATCCTAGCTAAAGTCCGGCAAGTCATATGAAGGCTGAAAAAATCAATCTTTGGGTTGGGGCAGCATGGCAGGGGTGGTCAACTTTGAAACATATTTTTAGAGCGAAGTCTGGCTCGACCATCGTGGTTCATATGGTCCAATAACCTCTAGAATCAATCCTATCTAAAGCCAGGCAAGTCATATGAGGGCTGAAAAATCGATCTTTGGGTGGGGCACCATGACAGGGGTGGTCAACTGTGGAACATGATCTTTAGAGACAAATCTGGCATGACCATCGTGTTTGTATGGTTTAATAACATTCAGAAAGGTTCCTAGTGAAAGCCAGGCAAGTCATGTGAAGGCTGAAAAAATCGATCTTGGGATAGGGCACCATGACAGGGGGGTGGTCAACTGTGGAATATGATTTTTAGAGACAAATCTGGCATGACCATCTTGTTTATATGGTTTGATAACATTCAGAAAGGTTCCTAGTGAAAGCTAGGCAAGTCATGTGAAGGCTAAAAAAATCGATCATTGGGTAGGGGCACTATGACAGGGGTGGCCAACTGTGGAATATGATTTTTAGACACAAATCTGGCATGACCATCGTGTTTATATGGTTTGATAACATTCACAAAGATTCCTAGTGAAAGCCAGGCAAGTCATGTGAAGGCTGAAAAAATCGATCTTGGATAGGGCATCATGATAGGGCTGGTACTCAACTTTGGAACATGATTGTCAGAGACAAAAATAGTATCACCAATGCATTCATAGGGTTCAATAACCTCGATCATGAGTCCTAGTTAATGACAAATGTGTTATATCAAGGGCTAGTGAATCGATCTTTGGATAGGGCACCATGACAGGGGTGGTCAACTGTGGAACATGATCTTTAGAGACCAAACTGGCATCTCCAATGCATTAATATGGTTCAATAATATCAATAATGAGTCCTAGTAAATGACAGATGTATCATATGAAGGGCTAGTAGGTCAATCTGTGGGTAGGGCAGCATGATAGGAGCGGTTTACTCAACTTTGAAACATGATTGTTAGAGACAAAACTGATATCACCAATCGATTTATAGGGTTCAATAACCTCGAGAATGAGTCCTGGCTAATAACAAATGTGACATATTGTGCGCTAGTAAATCGATCTTTGGATAGGGCACCATGACAGGGGTGGTAGTCAACTCTGGAACATGATCTTTAGGGACCAAACTGGTATCACCAATCGATTGATATGGTTCAATAACCTCTAGAATGAGTCCTAGCTAATAACAAATGTGACATATCATGGGCTAGTAAATCGATCTTTGGGTAGGGCACCATGACAGGGGTGGTACTCAACCCTGGAACATGATCTTTAGAGACCAAACTGGTATCACCAATCATTTAATATGGTTCAATAACCTCGATAATGAGTCCTAGTTAATAACAAATGTATCATATCACGGGCTAGTAATTTGATCTTTGGGTAGAGCAGCATGACAGGGGTGGTCAACTGTGGAATATGATTTTTAGAGACAAATCTGGCATGACCATCGTGTTTATATTGTCTAATAACTTTCATAAAGATTCCTTGTTGAAGCCAGGCAAGGAATATGAAAGCTGAAAAAATCGATCTTTGAGTAGGGCACCATGACAGGGGTGGCACTCAACTTTGGAACATGAATGTTAGGGACAAAACTGATATCACCAATCGATTCAAAAGGTTAAATAACCTCGAGAATGAGTCCTAGCTAATAACAAATGTGACATATCGTGGGCTAGTAAATCGACCTTTGGATAGGGCATCATGACAGGGGTGGCAGTCAACTCTGGAACGTGATTTTTAGAGACAAATCTGGCATGACCATTGTGTTTATATGGTGTAATAACCTTCACAAATATTCCTAGTGAAAGCTAGGCAAGTCATGTGAAGGCTAAACAAATCGATCATTGGGTAGGGCACCATGACAGGGGTGGTCAACTGTGGAATATGATTTTTAGAGACAAATCTGGCATGACCATCGTGTTTATATGGTTTGATGACTTTCAGAAAGATTCCTAATTAAAGCCAGGCAAGGAATATGAAAGCTGAAAAAATCGATCTTTGAGTAGGGCACCATGACAGGGGTGGCACTCAACTTTGGAACATGAATGTTAGGGACAAAACTGATATCACCAATCGATTCAAAAGGTTAAATAACCTCGAGAATGAGTCCTAGCTAATAACACATGTGACATATCATGGGCTAGTAAATCGATCTTTGGATAGGGCACCATGACATGGGTGGCAGTCAACTCTGGAACGTGATTTTTAGAGACTAAACTGGTATCACCAATCGATTCATAGGGTTCAATAACCTCGAGAATGAGTCCTAGCTAATGACATATGTGCCGTATCATGGGCTAGTGAATTGATCTTCGGATAGGGTATTATGATAGGAGTGGCAGTCAACTCTGGAACATGATTTTTAGAGACAAATATGGCATGACCATCGTGTTTGTATGGTTGAATAACATTCAGAAAGCTTCCAAGTTAAAGCCAGGCAAGTCATATGAAGGCTGAAAAAATCGATCTTTGGGTGGGGCACCATGACAGGGGTGGTCAACTGCGGAATATGATTTTTAGAGACAAATCTGGCATGACCATCGTGTTTATATGGTTTAATAACCTTCACAAAGATTCCTAGTGAAAGCCAGGCAAGCCATGTGAAGGCTGAAAAAATCGATCTTTGGATAGGGCATCATGATAGGGCTGGTACTCAACTTTGGAACATGATTGTCAGAGACAAAAATAGTATCACCAATGCATTCATAGGGTTCAATCACCTCGATCATGAGTCCTAGTTAATGACAAATGTGTTATATCAAGGGCTAGTGAATCGATCATTGGGTAGGGCACCATGACAGGGGTGGTCAACTGTGGAATATGATTTTTAGAGACAAATCTGGCATTTCCAATGCATTGATATGGTTCAATAATATCAATAATGAGTCCTAGTAAATGACAGATGTATCATATCACAGGCTAGTAATTTGATCTTTGGGTAGAGCAGCATGACAGGGGTGGTCAACTGTGGAATATGATTTGTAGAGACAAATCTGGCATTACCATCGTGTTTGCATGGTTTAATAACATCCAGAAAGCTTCCAAGTTAAAGCCAAGCAAGTCATATGAAAGCTGAAAAAAATCAATCTTGGGGTAGGGCACCATGACAGGGGTGGTCAACTGTGGAATATGATTTTTAGAGACAAATCTGGCATGACCATCGTGTTTATATGGTTTGATGACTTTCAGAAAGATTCCTAATTAAAGCCAGGCAAGGAATATGAAAGCTGAAAAAATCGATCTTTGAGTAGGGCACCATGACAGGGGTGGCACTCAACTTTGGAACATGAATGTTAGGGACAAAACTGATATCACCAATCGATTCAAAAGGTTAAATAACCTCGAGAATGAGTCCTAGCTAATAACAAATGTGACATATCGTGGGCTAGTAAATCGATCTTTGGATAGGGCACCATGACATGGGTGGCAGTCAACTCTGGAACATGATTTTTAGAGACTAACCTGGTATCACCAATCGATTCATAGGGTTCAATACCCTCGAGAATAAGTCCTAGCTAATAACAAATGTGACATATCGTGCACTAGTAAATCAATCTTTGGATAGGGCACCATAACATAGGTGACAGTCAACTCTGGAACGTGATTTTTAGAGACTAAACTTGTATCACCAATCGATTCATAGGGTTCAATAACCTCGAGAATGAGTCCTAGCTAATGACATATGTGCCGTATCATGGGCTAGTAGATCGATCTTTGGATAGGGCACCACGACAGGAGTGGTAGTCAACTCTGGAACATGATTTTTAGAGACTAAACTGGTATCACCAATCGATTCATATGGTTCAATTCCCTCGAGAATGAGTCCTAGCTAATGACATATGTGCCGTATCATGGGCTAGTAGATCGATCTTTGGATAGGGCACCACGACAGGAGTGGTAGTCAACTCTGGAACATGATTTTTAGAGACTAAACTGGTATTACCAATCGATTCATAGTGTTCCCTAACCTCGAAAATGAGTCCTAGCTAGTAGCAAATGTGACATATCGTGCGCTAGTAAATCGATCTTTGGATAGGGCACCATGACATGGGTGGCAGTCAACTCTGGAACGTGATTTTTAGAGACTAAACTGGTATCACCAATCGATTCATAGGGTTCAATAACCTCGAGAATAAGTCCTTCTAAAATTTCTGCTTCATTATGGGTTTCACCCATTCAGAATCAGCATGCTATCGGAGACAGCTCGGTCTGGGCATTCAAGTCTTGGTTCGGTGGTGTTGTAACTAATGACATCATATCTATATCCTAATTCACATCCATTACCAAGTCTTCTTCCACAGTCTCTCTTATATGCATGGGAAATGGCCGGAGCTTGCGAGAATGTGGGGGAGGGGGGATCCTCTGATTTCTCTTGGCCATGGTCATCTTCTTTTGAATCTCCCGACACTTTTGTCTCTCCGTCTTCCTTCTCAGATTACCATCGGTGTCAAAGGATTGCGAGTCCATCAGGTCAGCTGCAAATATGCGCTTTCCCTTGATCAACTTCATCGTACGACGTGCTCTGGTGGCTCTCTGCTGTGTCTCTACTCCCCTTCCAATGCAGTCGATCCTGTAAAATCTGGGGTTCGTTATGAACACGATGGCGTCATTTTTTTGCGTCCACACCCTCGACCCGCTGGCAGGGAGACAATGGACATCCGAAAATACCTCAGATAATCCTTGCTTTAGCAACATGCCCTGGTCCTCGTCCATGGTCCCCATGGTCCTATGAAACTCAGCAATGTATCCATCTCCCTCCCACAGCATGGACCACTGAGCGTTATTCTTGTGGGGCGCATCAGGATCAGGAAAGAATAGAGAGCGCCTGTCACCAAACCCTCTAGACTTGGGACCCATCCGACCAGCTGTGACTCCAGTATGGTCCTGCAGCCCTGCATTGCAGGCTTCGAATGCGACAGCAGCGAGGGTGTCATCGATGCTTGTTATGGTCCAGCACTTCATCGCCTCCTGAAGTGAATTTGGGTGAGGCCTGATGCCTTTCAAGACATCAGTCGTCAGCATCAGCCATATGTGTCTGGTGAACATGATGAACAGTCGTCCGACAGATAGTTCCATGTCGGACAACCTGGAAGACCAAGACCATGGTCTCATGATCATCGCAGGAGAGCTTGCTATGACTGCTTTGAGTCGATTCCATGTCGGCGTCCGACCAAGCGGATATTCTTCCAGCTCTGATTCAGCAGTAGCCTGCGAATCAATCCTTCCCACTCCCACTCCCACTGCTCTATCTCTTTGAGCCTTTGCATTTACGCCCATAAGGGCCAGCACATTCAAATCATCGACTTGCTGCACTTCATCCAGGCAGGTCTCGCTGCCGAGATCGAATTTCTGCAAGAAAAACATTCCTGCTGTTTCCAGCACATTTCTATACTCGAGGAGAGCAAGGGATTCGCGGACATGGAAGTCATAGATGATCGGGGTAGATGTTGTTGAACGAAGCATGTGGTTCAGCAGGCCGGTGAGGATACCAAGGTTTGGAGGATTCTTTTTGACAATGGCTATTTGGGTCCTCTGAATCTCACGAACCCGTCGTCTGATGAGCTCGAACCATATCTTCGATGGTATCCACAGCACAGGATCAGATCGCAGATATTCTATAGCCTACAAGGTGATCATCGCATGAGCCATTGAGCTCGCGAGTCGCTGATTCATGGAGGATCGCTGACCTTGCTTTCGATATTGTCCAGCATTATTCTAGCTGCATGTCCGCTCACTCTGTACTCGTCCCTGACACCATATGTTTTCTCCTTGCAGCCATCGATGACCTTGACCATTTCAAAGCATTCGGCCATGTAGGATGGAGAAAGCTTGTATGCATCGCTATCGGAAGCGAAGGCCACTCGGTTGTTGTTGGTTCGGATGGATTCGTAGTACAGGTTGTATGTGCTCCTGAATGCGATGTGCGTCTGCTGGGCCCTCTCCTGCTGCATCTCGGCCTGCAGCGCACCATATCTTGAGAGCGTGTTGTGATGATGCATCTCACCTCTCTTGTACCCCCCTGCGCCGAATGATGCTTCCAATGCGTCCAATCTCCATACACCTATGACAGGCACATCTGGGGAGTGGGGTGTGAATGAGATCCCGACGTCTACGAGCAGCTCGCCATGTTGCCTGTCCATCATGTATGGCCAGTCGAGGTCGGACAGGTTTCGACAAAGGGCCTCTTCTGGTCCTGAGAAACGCCCTCTCTGACCATCCTTCATGAGCAACTTTATGCCCTTTCCTTCCAGAATGAAGAACGACGACCCGAACATACTAAGCTCAGCCTCTCCATCACATATTCGATGCTTCATACGTTCCTGTACGTCCTTAAAGTCATCATCAGACAGGGGGATTACTTTTGGAGGTCCCCATCCCCCTTTGCGTCCTCCTGCACCCTTGGCCTTGTATCGCGCCTCCTCCAATGTGTTCTTCAGGTAAGGCGCCCAGCTTGCATCGGTGCAATCTCCTATGGAAGGAAGCAACACCCTGTCCCAGAAGATGTCCAAGACTTCCTGGGGCATGAGCGTGATTCTCCGACCGTTTACTGGGTGTTGATGAATCATTCTTGGGAATGCGACATAAAGATTCAGCATCGAGGAAGCAGATGATATGCGCCCGATGCACACATGAGGGATGGCAGACATAGGGAAACGTTTGGATAGCCATTCGGTCCTGCCACCGGGCATATGGGCATCTGCCTCTGACTGTGGAATTGTAATGTCGACGTATGTATGATTGTGCTTGAAGATCCCAGGTTTCGTTTGAAATGGTGGAGCGACATAAATGCCGACAGATCCTCTGCACCGGAACGTTTTTGTGGTCCAAATTATGCTATCTATGTCCACTGAGATCTCTATCTCATCTTCCGAAAATTGAATGGCATCTCTTTCGAGATCAATATGAAGCGCAGGACCATCTCCGTATCGATAACTGGTGTGGCCACGCACAAAGGCATTGTGTCCGAACCTGCACTCGTCATGCAGTGGCGGGTCGTACTGTACAGAGTCTATTATTTCAGACGCAGACATGATTTCCACATCTGATACCTGCGTGCAACGTTCATCCTGGTTCGTCCCTCGCCGGTCCAGGGTGTATTCTCCTGTGACGCGATCCGGCACTTGATTGGAAGCATCATAGGATTCGGACGTGCCAACTGGCATGATGTGTGCCATTATAGCTATGGGGTCGCATTGATAGAATATGTGGAAGGAACTAGGGGTAATCCTGTACCCATGATCGACCCAGTTCGCCCAAGCAGTGGACAGCTGCATTCCTCTGTCCAGGAATGTCATTGTGGGATTGACGTCACTTGGAGGTCTCAGCATCTCGATTGTAGGTCCACCCTCATAATCGTCGAAGGTGCGATCGTCCTGAATCCATCTTCTGCCTGTATATGCGGCTAGGGGGACTGGAGCGATGGGACGAGGATATCGTTTGTTGCTTCCCATATTCCAGTTGGACACTCGCCTACGAGTTTCTGAAGCTGATTTGGAGCGTTGTGAATCGACTTGACCATCGACATCAGTTGGCAGCTCTGGCTCCAGTTGAAGGTGTGTGCCGACAGCACGAGCAGGTATGGCATTACGATTGCGAGATCCGGCCAGTTCCTTGTTTGCTTTGAAAAGTCGGGCGAGTTCTGCCTTTCTCTCTGCAGGTAGGACTGTGCAGAGGGTATCCTCGTCTTCACCATAATCGTCTTCCGCATTATCATGATTAACTGCAGTGTCACCATGATTCTCACGATGGTGTGAGTCGTTGTCATCATCGTGGTTGAGCACAGAACATTGGCATGCTGAGCATGTAGCGCTCACGATAGTCAATTTCCGCAAGAGCTCGAGGCATTCGGCCTGATGCTTCCCATTCTGAATGGAATTTATGACCTCCTCATCTGGCATATCATCTTCTAGCCAATCGTCCGGTCGGTTGTCCAGGAGCATCAGGTAGTCGCTACAGCTCATCTTGATGCATCCAGCAACCATGCGCAACATGTGTATGCGCAGTTTGTGCCCGCATTGCACTTGAAACGGTGGTAGGTTACCGCGCTCATCCACTCCTGAGATCATGCATTGCTCCAGCACAGAGCATGCCATGGGACCGCAGTCCACCCCAGTTTTTGTCGAATCTCTAGGTATCACTGATACGTCTGTGACATCTCCTGGGCTCCAGTCATGAAGGGCCGCGATTTTCCTCCAATATTCCGGTCCTCTCCAATTGCTCCAATCATGTGGATCTGCTCCATCTACGTCTATTGCGCCATCAGACATTTGGCGACCCAGAACATGCGCTGTGCATTTCTGAAAGTCGAGGATGACAGCGAAGAAACATTCGGAATCATGGACTATGAATCCTACAGGGACCACAGGACATGCGCCTTCATGAGGCACAAAATGGTTCCTCCTAAAGAGCTCCATGTCTTCATCCGCCATGTTGTTTGCCATCACTACACACAGGTCCACGTATCTCATGCGTGATCTGCTCAGCGCCTCATACCAAACATGCAACAGGTAGAAGTTTGCAACCGTCGCTTCAAGCCGCTCGTTCAGCCCAAGGGTTCTCCAGTTGTGCCAGGCAGAAGTCCACACAACTGGTCGGGCCATTGCACGACCTGTAATCGATAGAGATGAGTGTTTCTTGTTAAATCAACATTATTCTGAACTCACAAGCAATTTCCACAACCGTTGGTTTAGCTAGTGGCGACAGTGGGGCTTCAAGCGAGGGTGACCGGACCTCAGGCAGCGGTGGTGGCGAAGGTCTGTAATCATCATCTTGTATTGCTCTCGACGATCGTGGTGGACTCCCTAATCGAAGACACAGTCATTTAACACACATACGCAGCAAATAGAAGACTAACGACGCTCACACTGTGATTCCTCGATGTGTTCCTCACTCTCGTCTTGAAATTCATGATCACTCATATGTGATCGACGGCAGACCTGTTGCTGGGATGCTGGGAATTCGATGTTGCAGCTTATGGGTTTAAATGGAAGATATAATATTACTGACCAGTCACTCGTGTATCATGCGCAATGAACTCAAATTTATCCTGTCCCTCAGGGAGGTTCAGACGCACATGTTTCTTCAATCCTGAAAATGAACGGTTAACAGGCCTTCCAAATACACTATCCATGAGGACTGACTTGACCCATGGTGACATCCAGATCGTCTTTTGGGACGGCCTCGACCACGCCCTGCGGATCCTTGTGTGGAATTTACATGGTCCTTCAAATTGGCAACAGGTCCAGATGTAGTTGTGCCCCCTGGTACAGGGCTGATCGTAACACGGATAACAGGATGTCTTCCAGGTTTCTGTCTATGATCCCTCCTCAGTCGACGCAACACAGGTCGGGTCTGTGCCTTTTGTGCTGTGTTCGATGGTACTATGACAGAATTGCAAGAATGTATCAATGTCATCACAGTGCTCCGTATCAAGTAAAATGTGTTATACTGACCCTCTGATACTCTGCATTGCTCGACTACCTCCTCATCCTCAAATTGATTATCATCGTCATAGGAGGTTACATTGTGATCATCGACGGTGTGAAAGCGGTCTCCAGGATCCTGGATGAGCACAGTGTGTCTGCAATCTGCGCATATTGCGCTTAAAGCAGCCAGTTGCTCCAGCAGACCCAGGCATTCGACCGATTGCTTCCCGCGCTGTATCGCAGAAATGACATCCTCATGTGGGATTTCATGAGCGATCCAATGAGTTTGGGGACCGTCCAGGAGCATCATGTAATCTCTGCAGCTGATCTCAATCCGCCCAGAAACAATGCGGAATATGTCCATGCGCAGTATGTGCCCACATTTTATGTGTATCGGCGGCACATTCCCATATCTGTCCAGCCCGCACGTTAGAGCTTGCTCCAGCACGGAGCATGCTATCGGGCCGCAGTCCACTCCGTTTTGAGCCCAATCTTGCACCCTGATGCAAACATCAGTGGCATCTCCTACCGTCCATCCGTGTAGCGCTGCAACATTCCTCCAATATCTAGGCCCTCCCCACGCCTCCCAGTCGTTCGGGTTGGTCCCATCGACGTGCATGGCGTCATCCGAAATATGGCGACCAAGGACGTGTGCTGTGTGTCGCATAAAATCAAATATGACGGCGAAGAAATGTTGTGAATGATGAATGATGAATCCAACAGGAACTATGGGACATGCAGCATTTGGAAGGATGAAGTGGTTCCTCCTTATTTCATCCAGCTCAGCATCGCACAAGTCAACCGCCATTGCTGCATACATGTCCAGATATCTCATGCAGGTTCGGCCTAGCCCTTCATACCAGACATGTAACAGATAAAAGTTCGCCACTGCTGCATCAAGCCACATGCTTGATCGGAGTGTTTTCAAATTATGCCAGGCATCTGTCCAAAGAATTGGTCGTGACATTGCACGAGCTGTAGTAAGATGTGGCGAGTGCCTTCGATTAAATCATCGTCATTCCTTCTGGTGATACACTCACACGCAATGTCAATGGCTAGTTCACCATCCAGCTGGAGTTCTTCTTCGTCGACTCTCCTTGATAATGAATTTATATTCCCTAAGCCAAGTGAGTTTCGGTGTACTATATCAGGCCAATGCGGTCCAGGGACCTTGAGTGCTTACCCGTCCCATGATCGTGCGCGTCAGCGACCATATTCAAAACTTTATTGTCTGACGCTGCTCAATTAGACGTTCAGGTGCATTAACTTAGATGAACTGTGGATGATCACTAACCTGTCAAGCGTGAACCCACCACATGTTTTTTTGGACGTCCTCGACCTTTTGCTTTGTTTGTAGTTTCATCAATTCAGTGTCTTCTGTGGCTCCACTATTCTGATCATGCCCACATCCTGCTTTTGCTCTGCCTTGGATAGGGGATACCATTACAGAGACTTCTTTATGGTTCCCAGTCGCCTTTCCATTGCTGTGGTTGACTTCGACAACGTTCCCGTCAGTTGGTGGATCCTCAGGTACTGGGCTTATTGTGGCATGTATGATAGGTCGAGCTGATGATTTCAACCCATCCTTGGCGCATGCCTGCTTTTTAGTACTGCCTGCGCCAATTTATCATGTGCATCAACATAGGGGTCAATCTAATTAACTCACGATTCCCTGTTCTTTTGATAACTTTCTTTTTCGGCCTTCCACGCAGCCGTTTATTGTCCGTTAAAATCTCCTTTCCTTTGTCCAATATTCCACAGTTCTCTATGGCTGCCAAAAGATCAGTCATATCTGTGTCTGTATTCCACCCAGCATCGCCTGTATCAGGTGCTGTGTATTTAACAGGCCTTGCAGCTATCTTTCTGTGTGGGCTGGAATTCAGGATGCCGCATTCCATGATCTCCTGCAGAATTTCGAGTCCATTTTCCTCCATGGCGCCGTTCAGACTGACTGAGGTGAGGTTAATTTAGAGTTTAGATGCGAATGCCAGCTATCTACCACCCTCCATTTGTTATATTATCAAACCTCTCACATGAACGCCCAGGCCGTCAGGCCTTGAATACCTATCGGTGACCTTATTTGCTGCCACTTGTTGCGCTCTATGCCCCATAGTACTTCGGATCTTGTGACTCATCTCAATCCTTCCATTTTTTTTTTCGAGGGTAATCGGTGTTTATCAGTCTAATTGACTGTGGCGCACCCTATTTCATTCCAATTACGTCAAAGTACATACGATTGGTATGCAGCACAACCCACATGACCATTATTCGGCACCTACATAGGATGGTCCGCCTATATCAATGGTTTAATTGCAGCACTGCTTCATATGTTTGTGGCATGGCTCAGATGCTGATATTACAGCATTCGGAGTACTGCCAGTAAGCAACCCTTTGATACGTAATTCTAATCCGGATCTCAGGTGTCCAAATTCATAGTAGTACAACCCTCTCATTTTCCTGAATATCGCCTGACACTTTGACTCCGTTACATGCCCCGTGTGCACCGGTGTCGTGTCTGCTGTTCCATTACCTGAACATCCATATTCTCTGCGGTGTGGTTTCAGACTCGATGTCTCATCGTCTGTCTATCGTCAGCTCTGTCTCACATGTAGATCGTAGAAGACTTCCCCCGATGCGTAGCAGTAAGCCAGATACTCGTCGACTGCGGACTTGTAGGTCCTTCGAATGTATGTTTTCTGTCTTCTGACGTAGTTATGTTGATCGCTCACTTAAGACTGACTTCATGTCACTGTCGCTCATAGGGGTATACAACACGGACGATGATTCGTGTTCGACACATGAGTTGCATCGTCTCATACTTAGGGTGGGGGAAACGTGCGATCTTAATTTCATTTGCTTTTCATGTTTAAGATGCTGACATGCACCTTGTTAGTATTGCAATCTTCCCAGATGATGTACGGGCGGTGCCAAAAGAAGATGGAAGCCTGCCCATCATGTCTTATTGGTATGGCAAGGTCGCCAAAATATATTTGAAGGAACAAGGGGACACCCATGTGAGCATACTAAAAGTTCAGACACGCCCAAACTCCTAATGTAGTCCGATGAAGGATGTCTGGCTGGACATACAGTGTATTACAGACGGATGGACTTGGAGGATAATGGAGTAGAGTTGCATTATTCTGTCATTCGCGCAATTGCTGCCAGGATACTAACACATTGAATGCAGCCTGGCTCAATACATGGGCGAGTATGAGCTTGTGCTCAGCGACCACATATCTTTAGTGGATATGACATGCGTCGAAGGTGTGTGTCGTGTGATCAATTGCCCACCATTGACGCATTCCTGTTCATGTCAGACCATGCTTTGATCGTCAGCTATGATGAAGGCAACATTTCACAACGTCAACTACCACCCGAGACCCCATACCATCGTTGGAATGTGGAAATAAAATTTGTGAAGAGCAGGACGAAAGTGCGCCTTCATGGTATGAATCTTAGTGTAAGGCTATGGCATATTGTTTTCCGCTGTGTAAAATTCTGATCCGTTTGAAATCTCCAGAATCCACAGCGAGCATCGCAGTGTCGCTGCGATGCATGTGATCTTACGCTATACTGTCCCAGCATCTCCCAGCGATACTGCAGGAAATGCAAACAGTGGTTCAATCAAAAATGCCTGGATTCTCTTGAACTTCGGGTAGATCGACGTCCTACGCCAGTGTTGCCGGCTATATACAACGATATTCAGTTGGAGGCAGAGTTCCTCACCATGTTTACCATGCCAATTTGCCGTGGTGGTCCATTTG